GTGTAGTGTTCGCGTAAATATAAGAAATCATTATTATCTTATATCATTATGTGATAACCCACACAAATGTCAATAATTTCATTACAAGCTCTTCTAAAGATTCAAAGTAGCAGTTTACGCAGTTATGAAATTAAAAAAAAACATATTTTCCTATTTTTTTTGCGTATATTGACAGCACTATAAGAGCACTAAGTTATTGATGCTTCTATGTGGTGTTGTACTAAGTGGTTATCGTTTAAAAAGTAGAACACTGCTAGCTTAATTAAAAGCTTTCTAATTTTTGATTATGCTATTTAGGCGTGAAATTTAATTTTGAGCACTAAATTAGCACTAAATGAGCACTAAATTCGTAAGTAGTGATTTCGCCCAAATGACCATTCCAGGTTATAAGCCTTGAATGGTCATGTCTCTTCACAGTTCCACTAATTTAATCAATACTAATAATTTTCCTAAGACTGTTCCTTTAACCTATTATAACAAAGCATCCTAAGAGGTAGCTGATACATCTTGTAATAATATTATTATTTATGGTATGTTTGCAGACTAAGTTTTTTTCTGGTAATCAAATCGACGAGCAGAAAATTAATGATTGGTTGAAAGCGCTTGATTTTTTAGAGAATCGTTTGATTGAACATCAGTGGCTTGCTGGTGACAGAGTAAGTACTTGTATTTTGTTGATATCATAGAATATGTATCTACAAAACACATCTACACTGTGTAGTGGTAGCGTAATAGTAGGGGAGCTCTTGATGCTAAATGGGGGATTTACTCGAGCGTCGTGGTAACTTATTAGATTTTGCAGATTAGTTGATAGGAAAAAAAAATTTATATAGTGTTTCCTCTTCCAGTGGTGGGGGAAGCATCTACAGATTTTTAAAAATGTTAAAACTACTACGAACTACTACAGATGTTCAAAAATTAATTCCAGTGCGTCATATATTCAAAGGGGATGTTAAGTGAACCTTAATAATGCTCCCATTCAAAAGACTGGTGATTCGGAAGTGATGCGAGCTCGTTGTAAATTTTTGAAAGGTTGAAAAAATCGCCACATTGAAATACTCGAGCGAGTTCATTATTATACAGAAGGTTCAAATTGAGGTTTCAGTTATGGTAGTTTAAAATCTGACGATTATTTTCAGGGATAATAATAATCTGACTGCTAGAAATATGTTTCTACGGATTTATTACGAACTTTTTTTCTCAATAACCATGAAATGGGACTGTGGATGGGTTGAAATGGCACTTGAGAGTCAGTGATAAGGAAAAAGTAAAAGGGAGAGGGGCGGACTGGGACATACATGCTTTACTGCAGCTGCACGCTCTTATCTTCATAGGCGATTTTTAGTATTTCGGCTTGTGGAAATACTAAAAATCGTGTGTCATTGTGTTTAGTTTTTGCTATGTTTTCATTATTTTAGTTAATTTAAGGCAACGTTTTTTTACAACTTTGTAACCCTCCTACTCCCCTATGTGACGCTCAAATAGTCAGATTTTCTAAATACACTCTTTTTAGCTCCTAATAAACTCACTGTACCTTAATCTGATGAGCTTCATTAAATCCAAAAAATCCCCTCTTGGGCTAGTCTACTATAAGAATATTCGCTACCTCATATCATCACGTGGTTGTAAGAGGTGGGCAGTAGCTTCTTTTGAATAACAAAAAGCTAGCTTAGTCGCCAATCCGCTGACTAAGCTTGGTAAACAATCTATGAGTATAACTATGGCAAATATTTTTCCTATAAAGCAGTCTGTAGTGGCCTACGTTCAATACTTAGGTTCAGCAGTAGACTTTAGGTAGGCTGTACGTTTTAATTATGTACTTTATTTTTTAGAAAAGGACACCAAATAACATAAAACTTAGAGTAAGTATACATAATGTATTTCATTCATTCATCAACAGCCTATAAAAAGACCACAGCTCAATTGGCTTCTGTGTAGATTGCGTCACAGGGATATTTGCTATAGTTGTTTCGCTTTTCAGTTGGATTGACGACGGATGTGTTTTATTATTTTGAGTTGTTACCAGGAAGAACTATTTAATTTTTTCTGTTTGTGCTATGACACCCAAGAGACGATATACTCTTACGCCACCAATACGTATTATTATGATCATAGAATACTATAATACACAATAGAATGGCTGTCAACGTTATTTTGTACGAGGATCGACGTCGCTGGAAGCACACATACAAGCAATTACGTCGTATTATCACTTCTACAAATCCGATTAGTTGTGTTGACAGACTGAGTAAAATTACACATTTTAAACTTTTGATTAATGTTCAAGATCATCATCAAAAAAATCGTTCATTACCCCATATCATCTCGTGGATGTTATAAGAGGCGACAGAGGGAAACAAATCAGGAGATGGGCAGCAGTATTTTCGATTACCAAAAATAAAAATCTACGGTTGCCAACGCTCTTGCCAAGCGTGATAACTACGGCAAATATCTCCCTTATGAGGCAATCTATGGGGAAGCCTTTGTTCAGTAATGGAGCTTAATAGGCTGTAACGGTTACGTAATGATATATAAACATCACAATAATTTATCATCTTTCACATTGAAACTCCATCAAAAGTCCACTGCTGAATACAGGTTTCCTCCAAAGACTGTCTCAAATCCCGGTCCTGAGTTATTTGCATCTACCTCTCAGGGATCGTTAACCTGGTTAGACACTGCAGCTTACGAAATCCTTGTCTTTTTTAACCTAACCTCCAGTCTAGTATTATCTCCTGTATCCTAGAGGCATATTTATATATTTTTTAGTTTACATACATAATTTCACAAGGGTAATCATCCAGGCCTGGAAGAATTATTTGTAGGCCATACAAATAATTCTTCCAGAATCAAGGAAAAATAGATCTAGGAAAGATGTAAATGTCTTTCAGACACAGCAGACCATCAGGTGTACTTTGTGCTCTTTTGTCACCCTTATTCTATAAACAAATATATCATGGATGTTTGACAATGTGCAATATTATTTGGGGTCAACAAAAAAAATTTGTGGGTCCTCTTTTTCCGCCTTCAAATTTTATTGTATTTTTTTGCCTTTTTTTTTTTTTTTTTTTTTATCTAAAACGCCCTCACGATACGGTCATAATTCTTTTATGGGTTCAATAAAAAAAAACAGGATTTCGGTGGGTGCAGTAAGATGATTCGGGATGGTGCTTCGTGGTAATACAGGGTCTCCCCTGTTTCCTTGTCCCCTGTGTCCTTTGTTTAACAATGGACTTGTGATGGAATGTTATCATGATGAAACTACTTTGGTTTGAAATAATAGCAGTTATTGTGTTATTTCAGGTAATGCTATGTGATATATGTGCTATGTCGACAATAACTTCGGTGCTGTGTTTAATTGCTTTAGCAGACCGTCACGTAAGGTTGAAACAATGGTTAAATGAAATCGAAAAACTATCTTTTATTCATATAAATAAAAGAGGTTTGGAACGTTTGAATAAGTTTATTGAATTTGCGAAAAAACAAATGTCAGAACACTACTGAGAGCTTTTATCATATTTAAATCACAAAGTATGTATATACTTATGAAGAAAATTTTGTAGTGGAAATAACCATTGCTCTATTTTTCTTCAAGCTTTGATCTGTTTATTACGTTGGATCCGGGGGTATAATTCAAAGAAGAAAGAAGCTACACATCCGTCCATCCACCCACCCATCCATTCATTACTGCTTATTAAAGTCCATATCTGAACATAGGCTTCCCGTATACGTTGCCTGGGATTTTGCCATTGAAGCTATGTTTGACAACCGTAGTTTTTTTTTTACTATTTTGAGTCGTTACCAGGAAGAAGTTAAAGCGCAGAGAATGAACCACTTCGTCTTTAACCTAAAGTTTAATAACGACTGTTAATTAAATATGCTGAATCTTTTTTTTTATAAGAAAATAAAAGTGTTTTAAAATAACTTCGTATTATTACTCCGTAAATATACGCACTACTGGCACAAGGTTATGCATTATAGCATGCGATAAGATCGAAGTCATGCTCTGTAGTCTGTACTAAACTTGACCGACGAATCCTACCACAAAGAAAATTGAACCATGTGGTGTAAAGTAACAATCACCTCATCGTAATTTGAAAATTACAGAAAAGAATGTTTTTTATTAAATATAGATTATCACATAATACTTATTGAAAGTTATTTTTATTTATCACTAGTTCGGAAAATGCTTTTGTCCTGGGAAGAACCAGCAAGAAATCCAGCGGGATTTTTTTAAACATAATTTTAAATATTATTTTCAGTTACCAATAATTTTGTTTGTACAAATTTTAATGAATTTTAATAAAACCAGCATGGTGAGGATCACCTCATTCCCAGATATTATTTTAAATTTACGTATTCTTAAAAAAGATTTCTTATTCTCCTAAACAAAGTGGTAAAATAATTTCGAATATCATCGTCATCATCATTACTAACCGGTATACAAAGACAATCTCGAGTTTTATGCTAAAACTTCACAATGTCAAAATTTATATAGCATAGAATGCCTTAGTACATGGCACAATACTTAGATTCCATATGGATTCATTGAGCATTTTGGAAATGAGAGTTTTGTCGAGAACTTGCCTACTAGCATATTGTTGTTCCCGTTGTGTGAATAATGGTTTGAAGTGAGTTTTGGTAAGTTAAAGAGGTGCTGTTTTGTGATTGAATGGCTGCTCATATGTCATATGCGCAGCTATTTAATCACATATCACAGTATATATAATTTTAGAGTTACTATCCGTTTAGGGCTCTTGCGACATTATCGTCATCTGCTGATTTAAACTATTGTTATAATCTCCCAAGTACGTCGCAATGTAACGTATCAATATATTATGAAAATTTTTATAAATAAATACACATCAGGTTAGGATGTATGGTCTAAGACCTTTGCCTATCATAATTGACGAATCGTAACATTTTTTTTGGGAAATGTCAAATTCTCCGAAGTCGAAGTCTATGGACTCTATTGATTGGTCGACGAGGAGATGTAAAAAATGGCTGCCTTGCCTTCTCCTACTCAGGTAGAATATAAAAGAAATATATTGTTTTTACAGTTTTGTTGTCAATATTCTATCATTTAAAATAAAGTTAATGAAATTGGCAACAATTCTGTGTAGTAAAATTATTCGGTCGCGTGTCGTGTTTTCGAAATAAATCCTGGCAAAGTGTAATGTACTGGTTTCGCTGTTTTAAAAAAATGTATTATGAAGAAATTTACTAAAAAATCTTTCAACTAACCAGTCAAATTTTAGTGATGTGAACGAGTTTTGTGATTTATTAAATTATTATCAAAATTTCTTTGTAAATTGTTCTTCAATTTTTACAAATTTTGCGCGAACATTGAATGTCACAAGTGTAATGTCACACCCATGTAACGCTCCTAAATACACGATTTAGACGATATTTTTGAGTGTTTTTGGCATTAAAAATGTGGCTTAACGGATTGCAGGTGGCAGGGACCCACAGTTCTATATACGAAGCCTACTACCACCAAGTAAGTACAAAATTTGTTCTTATGATAACGATATTACAACGTCAAATAAGTACATATAGATCGATTTTTATGGATTAATACATTAAATTAAATAGAAGAGTCGTAACTGCTGTTTGTTAATTCAATCAAACAAAGTGTGGACTATATTATTAATTGGTACGATTAATTGATACGTAAATTACTTATAAATTTAGATGAGCCAACATTTTCAACTGCTTTTTAGATATTACTTTGTATCTCCACTAGTCTAGTGTAGCATGAAAATGCTATTGTAATCATTAGTTCATTCAATCTTAATTCATTTATTTAATAGTTAAAACATTGATTTTTGAGTTTAGTTAAAATTTAAATAAAGGTATTTAATACTAGTATAACAAAATACTATGTATAATAATCATTTGCATTGATGATCCCTATATTGATTACCTACCAGGCTTACATACACAGACAACTGTAGATAGGTAACTTAAACTTACATTAAATTGAATTGCTTTTGGGCTTCCGTATTAATTTACAGGTTAGGTCTCTTAGATCTGTTATAGATCTGTTTTATAAATGTGACAATTTAAGTTAACCTTGACACAGCTTTAGTTTGTTAGAACCTCACTGTTGCAGTTGTATTATGGCTACAGCATGAATGGGTTGGCTTGACTGGGGAAGGACTACACTTACAGCATACCAGCATAAAATAGCAGCATAATACTACTGTGTCTTGTAGGGTAAGTGTAGAGAAGAGGGCCATTTCACTGGAAAAGAAGCATTCTTCATTGTCTTAAACCAGCTATACATGTTGGCCGAGCGAAGGGGAATACCAACATATAGACAGCTCATTGCTTGCGTGCTTTGCCACCACTCCAGATCGATCTACTTAACTTATTTCACTTTGGAACATTGTCGATTTTTCTGCACAAGTCAAAGGCACTCGTCTGCACTTGGCTAGCAGTGTCCATGGATTAGTCGTTATGTCACTATGTTCACTCATTCAAACTTGATCAACATGTAGTTCTTGTCTTGTATCAATTTGCCTATGTTTACATTGGCTGAGGCTTGGCCAACATGTATTGACGGCGTTTGATCTTAGTCTTCACGGATGACAGTGTATCTGTATTTTGAATAAAGAGTAGATGTAGGTGTCTATGGACTACAGTATTAACTGACCATCAAGTGGCTTCTATAAAAAATAAACATTGATAGTAGATTGTTGTAATAAGTTGCATTGAATTCCTTGGAATATATACCAAATACAGCCCTATGGGCTTTTCGGTAGTCATTCTTGTGACAGCTACTTTTTCTTCATCAGTTGATAGTCTCTTGTAATAAAAAGGATTTATCTTAATTGTCTCGCTTGGTAGACTGATGGACAATCACAGAAGCTAGATATCTCGCCGCTCTTTGATGCTTCTACTTGCTTGGCTTTCTTTAATCAAAAATAATTAATGGCCAGAATTATTTAGTTTTTTTTTTAAATTTATCATTAACTTTATTTCCATTTACTACTTGTACCAATAAATTATCATTGAATTTTTTTTATATTATAGGGGTGACAAACAAGCACAATCCACCTGATGGTATATAATTAAAGTGACTATTTTATTCATCAGAGCGGGACACCTTTAAAATTATTATAGTTTTAACACTTGACTGCCTTCTTGGTCTAATGATTGTAAACGCAATTGCTGATCATGTGGTCCTGGGTTCAAAGTCCGAGTCGGGCCAAGAATCATTATTTTTCTGACAACAAATTCTCAGTAGCAGCCCAAAATATTGATTTCGCACTTATTGAAGTTGGTGGGGTTTCACCACTGTGTCTCTGGAAGCATGTAAAGCCTTTGGTCCTGTTCCTGATCTCTCTCCTGTTGTCTTGGATAACCATTCCGTCGAACTTGATGAGTGAGGGAGTAGGGTAAACCTGTGCTTGCGCATACACTTGGGCAATATAATCCTGCCTTGCGCAAATGGCTATTTTCCATTGAGAATGGCCGCCGTTACCAAAATTTTGTCTGGAGCCCTTTATTATAGTTTTAAAAATAAAACACATAGTTGTTTGAATCTTTTGATCAAAAGTGCGAATGAGGACTTAGAATCATATAAAATCTGGCTGCTGGATTTTTAGTTTTTTTCTGAACAGCAAATAAATACTAATTAGAAATAACTTATGTTATTAGATAATTTATGTAGATTAATTAAAAATTGTCACATCGTAACTTTAAGTTCAAAAGTGTAGCTTTTCAGAATAATCACGTAACTAGTCAGGTCATGCTGGCAAACCTTGTACGCGCGGTGTCATAATGATGGCACAGGTGACAGAGTGTGCATGATGCTACGCTTTTGTTTGTCAAAGCGGGACATTTTTACGTAATTTCTTGGCAGCAGGATACAAACCTTTAAATCGGGACCATCCCACCAAAAGTGGATGTATGGTCACATTATATATTTTAAACTATCCTGAAATACGAATCAAAATGCAGATATGTTGTCAGCTGTGAGTTCTTAGATGGAATGCCTTCTTTCCTAGTAAAAGGAGTCTCCAGATCTCTAACTCACCATACGAAACACCGGAGCGTTAAGCCGATGTTGAAAGTATATAAATAATGTTAGGTTAAGGTACTAGGTACTAGTTTTTTTAATGTTTGAGAACCAAGTTGCAGCTATATTATGGTTGTAGCACAAATGGGTCGGCTTGACTTGGGTAGGACCAAATTCTCACAGAATATCAGCGTAAAATAGCAGCTTAATGCTGCTGTATTTCCATGGTGAGTATAGAGAACCGGAGACACTTTTTACTGGAAACAAGGTGCTCAATTTTAGTCCTCAGCATCCACTTACCCACAAGTGAACCATATGTTCATTTGTCACCTTTATTCTATACATGAAAAAAAAATAGTTGATGGTCCTTTTCTCACTACCTCTTGAATAAAACTATATATATGAATTTTATTACGTTTAATTAACTTATTTTAAATTCCCAAGGTTTGTGTAGTGTTCGCGTAAGTTTAAGAAATCATTAAGACACTATGTCTTTAAAAAAATCTTAAATACCATCAGTTTACAAAAATTAATGTATTTATTATAGTAAGGTTAAAGGCTGGCAACTCATACGCCTGTTGTAGGAGCAATCTAAGGTGTAGGAGTTGGGACCCTTAAGATAAAGCTTTCTGCGTAAAGGCTTTTTTTTTTGTAAGTTAAAGGCTGGCAACTCATACGCCTGTTGTAGGAGCAATCTAAGGTGTAGGAGTTGGGACCCTTAAGATAAAGCTTTCTGCGTAAGAGTTGGAAGTACAATGTCTAAACCCAGCTCAGCGGTGTTCCGCAGGGATCTGTTCTCGGACCATTATTATTTATCCTATATTTATCAGATTTTAAGAGCACGTTACAGCTACCATTCTCATTATTTGCCGATGACACAACATTTTTTGGGAACCCTTTTACGCAACATCAAGTTATACAACAGGATCTAAATGCCATCTGCGATTGGACTAGTGATTAGCTACTAACACTGAACGCAGACAAGTGTACGGTTCTACACATAGGGAAAAATAATCCATGAAATACATATTATCTAGGTGATCACCCATTGTCTTCTGTTGAATTACAAAAAGACCTTGGCATTACAATAGCCAGTGATCTCAAATGGGAAATTCATATCCTTAACGTAGTAAAAAAAGGCAAACTCCATGATGTATATGATTCGAAGAAGCTTTATGTGTCTCACTCTTAAAATATTTAACAAGATCTAAAGTACATACTTAAGACCTCTTTTGGTGTTTGCATATGTGATATGGGACCCGTATTTTCGTAAAGATATATGGAAAATGTTCAAAGGAGGGCCACAAAAATGGTAAAACAACTCCGGAACATGACATATGAGCAGCGAATGAGAAAGATTAACCTCACAACACTAGAGAGCCGTAGGCAGAGAGGTAGTCTGATTGAAACATACAAAATACTGACAGGATATTACAATGTTCCTACTCTGCCAAATTTGTACTTACTAAATAGCAAAAAATGTCTGAGAGGACATCAACTTAAACTTTGCCATAGCACTGCCAAGCTTATACAACATAGGTCTTATAACAAATCATGTTGTCACCAAGTGGAATAAGCTATCACAAAATGTGATTGATGCTCCTACGTTGAATGCCTTCAAGAACAGATTGGATAAAATATCCAAACATTAAGATGCACATGCATGAGCTTTTTTAGCTGCTAGTGTGTTTATGTATAAATAGTAATAAATAATAATAATGGACGGACGGATGGTCGATGGATTTGACTAGAATGCGCAAAAGGCCGGAGGATGCCTGGAGGTCGCCAGGGCGCGTATGGAGTTGGCGCTGGACGCGACAGCATGCGAACCGCTAGCCGACGAGCGCGAGGTGCTGCACGACCACCCAGCAGCCCCTAGCATCCATCACCCCCACCAGCTGGCTTAGTGTCGGCAGGGTCTTCGCGTGCCCAAATCGGCACCCGCTACTGGTGGAGCACGCCGCATGCGTTAGACAACTCAAATGAACAGCAACGCATTGCGGGCGTATTTTAGGGCAAAAGGGGGAGAAATCGGAGGTTTTGCGTATCGGGCAAGGATGCATCGACTTTTTGCTGAGCTGGAGCCATCTGTAACCGTCACCGAACAAAACCTGACAGACCGAGTTCGGTATATCTTGCGCTCAAATACATTTGATGTCACCGAACTCGAACGGCTACGACGTGATGCTGTTCCTTCATCGGATGAAAATACTACGGCTGAGGATGCGGAGCCACAACTTGCAGAGCAACCCGCAAACGTGGATGCCGCCGTGAATACCCCAGTTTTGGTTGATTCAAACAATGATGGAACAGTCGCCCAGGAACTGGAACTGGAGCAAATGAGGAGTACATTGGATGAGGTGGTTTTGGAAACGCGCATTACGCCTCTCGAAAATCGACCGCGACTTCCCCGCATAGCCCTAAGCAAGCGGAATCGGGTATGTGACTGAACCCAATGCTGGACCTATTTGGAA